TTTTTTATCGTTGCTGGTCGACGTGAAAGACTGTCCGACAAAATCTAATCGTGAAATCCAGAATGCATCTTTGGTTTTATTACGTCCTTCAAAATACATAAAACAAGGGCAATGATGCAGCAAATCATTGTAAATTGTTGTGCTTTTCGAATGGCAAAAGTTTAATCACCTAATACAATCTTCTGAATAGCCTCTGGTAAATAATATAAAGAAGACATGGATTTGGTAACTTTATGAATAATCTCCCGAATCTGGTTTTCATTGAAATCAGTGAATTCTGACAAGTCAGTGAATACTTTTTTCCTAAGAGTCGATTGAATGACCGCTGACAACCCCCCTACGCCAAACAATGAACCAATGCTTCTAATCAAATAAAGCGTTGATGTAGATGTAGCATGTGAATCTTAAGGAAACGCAAAAATGAATGAAAATAGAGAACTTGGAAATCCCATACCTTGCCCAACGTTGGCTGGAATCAAAAATAGACCCAGTAGTATTGGTGATATGCCAGGATATATAAACAAACTAAGAACATATCCTAAAGCCATGAGAAGCACTCCCAAAAAAATTAGGCGTCCTACACGAACACGTTGGTGCATCAGAATACCACAAATCAATCCTCCCATAGGTGTAGACAAGGACGGTAAAGCAAGACGAAGTCCGGCTTTGGAAGGGCTATCCCCCAATACCAGTTGAAAAAGTAATGGTAGTGTAAATAAATAGGCATACCCTGCTAATCCAGTGAGAAATCTGATTGTTAAAACAAGGGTACTGTATACTCCTCGAAGCAATTTCAATGGAATCATTGGGCCCGCATTGGGATCGACCACATTTGTACAGGTATAGAAAAACTTAATCCTAATACTAATAAACATAGAAAGAGTCCAAATGTCTGAATGGTTTTTGTACTAGCAAAAGTTGAAACCATTAACAACGCTGTCAACCAAGAAACCCAGAGTAATCCTCCTATTATATCAACACTTTTCAAAAGATTTCGATAATGGTGAGGTTTTGTGAAATTGGCTTGATTTTTTACAGAAAAAGTACCACACGGCAATACTTAACAATGAGAAAGGAACTTGCATGAGAAAACAGAATCTCAAACTAAAACCTTCAAAAAGTTTGCAACAAAAGAGGCTAAATAAAACCGAACATATCCGAAAAAAATAGTCTTAAGTATAATGTTCGCCTTCTTGCCGGAATGATATCCGAGTTACTAATCTTCGTCAGCGTGATCAATCCTCCTCCTCCAATTCCGGTAATGGTGTTTGCAAATATTAAGAAATGAACCTATTAGCAAAGTGGCTCCATAGACAACCAAGACAGAACAGTGCGGATGCCGTCAATAAAACATGCTCGCCTTCCGAAATTGTCTGAAAACGATCCGTATGAAGGCTG